GATTCTGGGGTGGAAGTGACCGATGAGGAGAGGAAGGTGTTGGAGGAACAGAGGTTGGTTGATTTGATGAATTATGTTTGGGTTCCAAGTGGGAAGATGAAGGAGTGGGATCCGGAGGAGTTTGTTGTTCAGATGTTGAGGACTCCGGGTGGGTTGATACTTATTGGCGGTGAGTGCGCTTTGTTGTTGTATTTACGGACGACGCTAATACTCACGTAGACTCGATATCCCAGCAGCATTCGCATGCCCTGGGCTATTCTCTTCGTGCGGCTGATATCCGATTCGACCATAACCCGCCTCATCTGCCCTTGTACGCACACCAAGGCATCCATATGCATGCCTTGCGACAAAATGACCCTACCACCCTCCGCCTCCTCGCGCGCGCTGGTGTTCCCGAGTCGAGGTTGTTACGGCCCATTATTACGATGGTGGAGGATCATATGTTGATACATGAACAGGATATTAGGAAGATTACGGAAGGGTTGGGCGCGTCAAAGGAGTATTATTGGTATCATGATTATAAGAGGGTCGAGGGGTGGGAAGGGTTTGTTGAGGATGCTGCTAGGCCACGAGAGGGCGAGGAGGGGACGGTTACGGAGGATACCGTGTTGGTTATGAATGGTGGTGCGCATGTAGGTTTTGTCTTTCTTTCTTTTGCAGGTATTGATGTAATACAGTGGTCAAGACACGAGCTCTCAATGCTTCCAGCCGGAAAATCCGACGAAGAAGAACAATCTCGCGTAGTAGCTACATACAAACAAATGGTTCGTTTGTTCGCTCCCCCTCATGCCCCCCTTACTTACCCTCCTCCCAGATGAACCTCGTCATATCCCGGCTCTCCCCAATCCCCCAACTCTCCGTAATCTACCGTGCAACCTCCCCAGGCCACCCAAACTGCAACCTCCTCACCGTCCCCTACCGCTCCTCGGAAGCAGCCCAAATCGGCGAACGCAACCTCGTCGAACGGCTCATCTCAACCATGCCGGACGAGCAGTGGCGCACCTTCCGAAAACGATGGGATTGGGATTTGTTTGCGGTGCACAACGCGCTTTGGGAACGGGAGATTGCAGGGCTTGATGAGACGGGCAAGTGGTTCTATATGGATGTGTGGGACCAGGCGTTGCAAAGGCCTGATGCGCATACAGAGCCTGGGACAGATTGTTTGCATTGTGAGTACATATATGCGCGCTGTTTTTTGGATTTGGGACTGATGATTGATGGTGCGGTAGGGAACTTGCCTGGAGTATTTGAGCAGTGGACACACCAGATATACCATGTCCTGTTTTTGGAGCGGGAGAGGAAGAGGGCAGGTGGGGTGTGACGTAGGTAGATTAGCGAGCATACCCTTTCGTGTACGCATACATTGTGTACGATGTACTCCTTGTATGCATTGACCGCTACTGTTTACCTTGATGCCCAACACCTCGATATTGATCACGACATCTGGCATCCACGACAACGACAACCCCACACTCTATTCCTAAACAACGCGATGTCTACCAACGGCGACCAACACTCAATCCACACACGAACACGCCAAGCTGCGACCAAGTGTCCGGAAGTTTCACGCCACAGTAAGTACCAGATTATCTTGCACACGTTTTCTACTAACAAAAGCTCATAGATTTCGTGCTACAACCTACTACAAGCCTATACGATGCGCGAGAAGACGATACAGGCTAAACGGCACCAGAGAAGACGGATACGACGACGTCAACACTTACACGAAGACCCAAGACTCAGATCTAACGCGTAAACGTTGTCGGAAGGGTGCGGGAGTGTGTGGAATGGCTGGATATGCTACAGAGCGCGTATACGAGGTAGGATAGGGTTGCGAGCAATGGGAGAACGTTCTGAGAGGTGAGTACTCACGTTGATTCGTTCATCTTGCACGAGGCTCATCGTTTTCAAGCTCCTGGTCAACGTGTTGGCAGTTTCTTGCAATGTGAGCGCCCAATCACCTTTTACACGAGTTTTCAACTAACAGATTGTCCTAGACTTCGTGCTACTACCTACAACGAACCAAAACGACATACGAGAAGACGATTACGCGTACACGAAGACTTACCATTGAAATCTAACGCATAAACGCCGCCGGAAGGACATAAAAGTGCGGGCTAACGGATAAATACGCTGTGGAGGACGTTTACGAGTTGGGAGAGGGTTGTTAGGGATGGGAGAAGTCCTTGATAGGTGAGTATTTACGTCGTTTGTTCGTCCTGCACCATACTGCAGTTTCAAGCTATGTGAGTACCACATTCGCTTTCCTACAAGTTTCTTGCTTACAACAGGTCTAGGTTTAGTGCTACTACTTACTACGAACGGAAACGACACGCGATAAGGCAGGTGGGGCGTAAACAAAGGCTTTGACGCGTACACGCTGCCGGGAGGGTGCAGAAGTACAGGGAACGAATGGATCGTCGCGGAAAGGTGGCGTTTCGCATGGAGAAGTTGGGAGAGATCATGAGCGACGGATTGGGGTGACTAAAAGTGAGTTACGTCGCATTGGATGTAATGCACGACACTCACCATTTCAAAATACTCAGAGCTTCGCATGGAGCGTTCTAGGTTCCATCCGCCGTTCTATGGACGAAAATACGTCGTCTCGACGCTGGAGACGACGACGTTCTGAAGTTCTGGACGGATAAATGGAGGCAGGACACGCGAAACGATTAGGTACGTGAGTTTGACTCTCTACATTATTCTGACACTAACTTGCCTTCGTAGATTCAAATTGGCCGTCTCGAAACACTTCGAAAGGTAAGATTGAAGACCTACGCGAAGACTGTAAGTCAAGACACTGACGAGAAATGAAAGTACTAAATACTTTTGCAGAACCAACATACCTGACGACGATACGTTGGGCCAACGGCACGAAGGACAACAACAGAAAACATTAACGTTTGCGACGGAGGATTCGTACACAAGTGTCCGATGTATACACCAACAAAGGAAAACGGCGGAGGGCTGGGAAGTAAGTACACTTTGTGTACCCCATCTTATATTTCATCAAAGCTTCGTTTCACGCCACACTGAATTCCGTATTCTCTTTTGGACAAGTTTTATATTAACAAAATGTATTAGATTTCGTTCTGCTATGTACAACAAATCGAAACGACACGCGTGAAGACGAACAGGGCAACAAAAAAACGTACACGAAGGCTCTACGTACAAATCTAATGTGTGAACGCCGCCAGAAGGCTACGGAATTGCGAAAAACGGACAAATACACTATGGACAGCAGGCTTTTCGCCGTTACGAGCTGGGATAGGGTTGGAAAGGTCATGTAAGGTGTATTTACGTTTTGTTAATCCTTAACAATACTGACCGCATGCTATACATGGATATTTTAGCGTTCTAAATGTAGCAACCTTCGCATATCCGGGTTTCCGCTCTGGTGAGTTCGAAACATGGGCGCCATTTCCTTTTAAAAAACTGAGCGTAAGTATAGTTTCTCAAACTACAAAATATCCGAGCACGTACTCACCTCCCTCAATCAGCTTTACAAGTATTCGGGGTGCTATGCACCCCTTGCAGCCGCCATAAACAATGATGACCAAGAGCGCGTGCATACGACGTTGGGTGGTGAGACTAGGGCCTTTTGTTAAGAGTTAAGGGATCCGCTCGCCGCGGGGCCAAGATCTCAGAAGAAAAAAAAGGGCCACAAATCTATAAAAAAAACACAGTTTGAGTGGTAGGCGTTGACCAATGCAACGTAAATGTGTGCTTACCATGATTTAGCGTGCTCGAGGTGCTACGCACCTCTCGCCATAAATGACGACAAGTGAAAGCACATGCATACGACGTTGGGTACCACCACGGCCTTTTACTAAGAGCTGAGGGGTCCGCTCGCCGCGGGGCCAAAACCTCAGTAAAACAAGGCATGAACCTTCGAAAAACGGGGTGTAAGTGCGTAGTTTGAGTCCCATAGCATAGGCGTGTACTGACCTTCGTTTTGAAGCCATCTGAGTGCGTAGCGCGGACGCCGTAGACCACTTTCAAAAGATGCGGTCTGTGCGTGCAAAAGGTAAGTTAACAAAAGATTACAATGAAGACACTTACCGATGGATGGAACGTCTAGGGGTTGTTACGCGATGTCGAGCACGCATGTCCTGCTTCCATTTTACGAACCCCGGGTTATTCGAGAGGGTGGTGGTCCGTTCATCATAGACCTGACTGCCTGGGAGGAAAAAGCGGTGAGTGCCCGTGAATTCATGCTGGATAAGCGAATACTGACCTTCACCTTTGCATAGACTTGATTTACAATAACTGGAGTAGTGTTCGTAAGTAAACAGCTCATGTTGAATGGAATATTAACGTACCTTTCATCGAAAACTCGTTAATCAGCGAGGGAAGCGTCAGACGATCTCAATTTCAAGTGGTGAGTAAGTCGCGCTCATCGTGGAGAGCAACATTGAGAGGCTTACCTTGCCATAAGTCTGTGTATGATCACGATGAGGACAGTGGTGATGACGAAGGCCGCGGTAGTGAGGAGTGCGAGATGGAGCGGAGGATGGAGGAAATAATAGAGGAGAGGAGGGGAGGAAGGGAATGGACACTTGACAACAAAATCACCCAGCTTATATAGAATTTGGAAAGGGCTGTACGGGCGTATCCGGAATAGTACGTACCTATCAGGGAATGGAAGATTTGACGGATGTGATTAGAATGAATTGCGTTGGCAAGTTCGGAATTGGTTGATCGGAGATACATGCCGTGTGCTATTTACTGTATCTTCACCCTTCCGTTATCCATTTTATTCAACGATGGTAGTAATTATATTATATTTCTTGGTATGTGAATCGGTAGAAATGAAAATGTAACAGTGTATCTTCACGCATACTTTCGCGTACATGTGAAAGTGATTCTGCGCACATACTAACAAAGAATTACAATGCTTGGGATCGCGCTGCTGAAAGAGATGGAAATTCTATGAGATAAAAAGTTCCATGGCCATCTAGTACTCTGCAGTAATACCACCAAAGAATATCCGATAGGGGGATAGACGAAAGTGGACAATTGAATAGTAGAAAACGGAGGACGGCCTCCTACCCACCTTCAAACGAAGATTCACCGCAAAGATCACACAAAAGTGCCGGGTGAAATGTGTTTGGCCTGTCAAGTAGGACCCTCAGTAAATAGCGAAGTCAGACGTTAGTCACGAGAAAGTCACCAATTAGAGGCTGTCTGACTAAATGTCGTTTTTTTTAAGCGTTTCTGACTACGCTCGTACTACAATAGTCATATATTAGTCTTACACTCAGTCATGTACTAGTCATACAATAGTCACATCCCAGTCATTGCTGCTTGGGCCCAATTCAGGATAGCAAATAGGCTGAATCAAATTATATTTGGCTACTTAAAGTATTTCAGAGGATACATGTAGTAGGCATGAAACTAAGTATAGTAGGGGGGAGAGGAATACTTGGGTTTTCGGCACTAGAATAAGAAGAGGGTCTCAGGATCATGTCGGAATAAAAGGCCCTCTGCAGCATGTCGAGTCCATTCAAGTGCTCCAACAACACCGTCGAGCTCGTCGTTGAGCGGTCCATTACCACATCCAATATCCGTCAAATCCTCCGCATCTGAGACCGAGTCGTCGCCATCCCATCTGCACGGGAAATGGGGAGCGAAGAGAGGGAGTCGATGAGTGCGCCACCTGGATTTGAGCAGGGGGCGTTGAGAATGCGGTTGTTGACGAGGATTACCTCTGCGCTCGCCATGTTTTGGTGGTGGTGATGGTGGGCCGTCCAGCCAAAGAGCGTCGACTGTGTCGTCGGTAAGCCTGGTTCCAATGTAACACTTCGTTGGATCGCCGTCGCATTTTCGTGTAATGGATGGAAGTCGGAGGCAGTGACGGCATGTTGGGGGCTAATGACCTTCGTTTCATAGGGGAGTCATTCGCGATGGTGGTATCCTCGTGTGCTCGTTTTGTGCGTTGCATACATCTGCAAAGGAGTGGAATCCGTCGACGAGGAGGTCCGTGGGTGTAGCTGGTTCGCCAGCGGCCAGAGTCGTCAATTGAGCAGTTGAGGAAGAGCGTGCGGGGCTGGTCGTCGAAGTGACAAGGTCAAGTTCAAACAGGTTCAAACGTCAAAATAACTTTTCAACGAAGCAATCATGTGACTTTCAACTCGCAACGTTTCTAAGTCCAATGCACCGCAGCCTGCAGCCTCAGAGGCCTCAGCTAGACAAAAATTCTTGGCATAGCCATGTGTAGAAAAAGTATGACGAAGTTGATACTAACCTATGACTAAACTCATCTCCCATTTGTTGCCAAGGGAAGTTTGAGGGAAGGGTGGCGTAAAAATTACAGATGTGTGACGTACACTTGACTGACCTCTGACTTTGTGCTATTTTGCTTGACTTTGCTTTTTACTGAGTAGGACCCTTGATGGTACTAATTTCTGATGTGGAAACTTGGCAGAAAGTGCCCATATGGTTCTGGCACTTTCTGTGGATTCTGGATTCAGTGCGGGGACCTGGAATGAGTAACGAGAAACAGAAAGAAAAAAGTTGAATCAAGGGATGAGTGTGGGTAGAAGTAAGAGTTGTTTGAGTCTAGAGCTAGACCCTTGATAAAAAATGAAGAAGATCGCAAAGAGGCGGAAGTGGAAACGGGGGAGGAGGAGATTGGCCTTTGTTTGTCCGATGCGTTGTCTCTTCATCGTCGACGCGCAGCACAACAACGCAACGCGCTGACTTGATTTCTTTTCCAAAATGTGTAGATACATTACTAGTATTGGATACTTTATTGTTTTTGCGTTGGCAAGTTCAGAATTGGTTGATCGGAGATACATGCCATGCGCTATTCACTGTATCTTCGCCCCTGCGTTATCCATTTTATTCAGAGATGGAAGTAACTAAGTATATTATATTTCTTGGTATGTGAATTGGTAGAAATGAAAATGTAACAGTGTATCTTCACACGTACTTTTGTGTAAATGGCAAAGTGATTCTGTGTGCATACTAACAAAGAATTACAATGTTCCGGATCGCGCTGCTCAACGAAAAGGAAATACTACAAGATAAAAAATTCCATGGCCATCTAGTACTCTGAAGTAATACCTTGAAAGAATGTCTGATAGGGGGATAGGCAAAAGCGGACAAATGAATAGTAGAAAATGGAGGACAGCCTCCTACCCACCTTCAGATGAAGATTCACCGCAAAGCTCGCACAAAAGTGCTGGGTGAAACCTGTTTAGCCTGTCAAATAGGACCCTTGATGGCGCTAATTTCTGATGTGGTAACTTGGCAGAAAGTGCCCGTATGGTTCTGGCACTTTCTGTGGATTCTGGATTCAGTGCAGGGACCTGGAAGAAGTAACGAGAACCAGAGAAAAAGAACTTGAATCAAGGGACAAGTGTAGGTAGAAGTAAGAGGTAATTAGGTCTAGAGCTAGACCCTTGATGAAAAATGAAGAAGTCTGCAAAGAGTAGGAAGTGGAAACGGGGGAGGAGGAGATGGACGTCTGTTTGTCCGACGCATTGTCTTGATCTTCAACGCGCAGCACAACAAAGCAACGTGCAGACTTGATTTTTTCCCCAACATGTGTAGATAAACTACTACTATTGAAATCTGCATTGTTTCAATGAGTTCTTTTTGTTCATATAATGTGGTAAAGATTGTGAAAATTAAGGGTAAATTCACCCAATACAAATGAGTGACTGTATTTCTTAGCATCGAGTCAAATGTAAACTAGTAATCAGAAAGCTTTACATTCTATCTATTGTAATGTGTCATGAATTTTCATATAGGTTGGGATGATTCCAAAATTTGAGGTTGAGTAATGTTTGATTGGGCAGGGTGAGCGGGATCAGTGACGGAAATAGGGTTGCTTGCCCAGGCCGTCGCAAAAATAACCAACAAGTCAAAATTTTTCAACCAAGCCAAAAGATTGTCACATACCTCGCAGATCCCCGCAACACTTGGCATTTCAGGGTATAAAGGCTCCCAGAATATTTCGCCACTTTTATCCTTCTCCCCACTTCCTAGGGTGGCATAATGCCCCTACTCCCTATGTTCTATTTTTCATGCACTCTCTTTGTTTCAAGCATTGATGAGGTCATATCAATCCATACAGGTATGAACAACGATACAATGTCTTATTCTTCTCAATGATTATTTCTATGTCTATGCAGATCATACACCAACGTATCCTACTTCGCACCTGCAGCAAGCAGACAGTGGCCCATAGTCAAAGCCTCATAGTCCAGTGATGAAAACCTTTGTTGGGTGGCAGACAGTGTTGGGCAGTGCGAAGCCCCGCGATGATGTCAAACGTTCTCAGATGAATGCAATGTAAGTCGTTTATTTTTGATAATGCCAGAATTATACTTACTGGGTTTTCGTAGAGTTCTCGTCTGCTCGAGCATTCGCTGCTGTAGCTATTGTTGGCCACTGCCAATATATTCACATCACCGTTTCTGGCGTCAGCAACAACTACCTCAACATTGACTAGACGTATTGACCTCTGGGGTACATTGACTCTGCAAAGGTATGTTGGTGTCAATGAATGTTCGAAGAAGCACAACTGACTTACTCTCATTGTTAGCTTCCCCTGGTCCCGCTTTCGTGTTACCGCCTCCCGCGACATGTCATGCTACACTTCTCCTGGCATTAAAAAGAAATATTGCCTTCTGCAACAGACATGTGAATGCATCTACGCCACTGTGGATGCACTATACTCTTCCACCAAACCTTTCCCAACATATGCACAATGTTTGTCCCTCTCCGAGCCCCAAAAGGACGTATCGCGATCCGCAAAATGGACACAGACCACTCTCCAGCCTTAAAGCCTTGACCCCCTCCTGTCCCCAAGACGGCGTTTCGTCTTCTGCAAATCCATTACACGCCACCTACCTTCCGGAAGTCTTCCGCCTCTCTATGAGTCTCTGAGGCTTCGAGACGACTTATCGCCGTCTGCGAAACACCCTCTCTATGCGTGGGATGGCATTGGTTGGTGTTAGGAACTAGGAAGAGACAAGAATAAAAAGATTTGGTAAGTGTTTCAAGACCAGAAGGATGAAGAGATGCTTACCCATTTCGTTTAGAGTATTTTACAACCATTCCACAGTGTCCTGCGTCCCTCCTGGCCCCGAGACGATGTATCGTCTTCCGCAAAACGCCCCCACGCCACCATTCAGCTTTATGAACCCTCCCTCCACACCATGGCGTCGAAACGACGTATCGCCGTCCGCTAAACGCTGTCTCTGTGTGCTGGCAAATTTTTCCAGCCGTTCCACAACGTCCTGCAACCCTCCTAGCGTCAAGACGACGTATCGTCGTCCGCAGAAACGTCAAACATCACCCTCGGGTTTCCAGAACCCTTCCACCTCGCCATGGCGTCGAGACGACATATCGTCGTCCGCTAAACGCCCTCTACGTGCTGCGATATTTTTCCAACCGTTGCACAACGCCCTGCACCCCTCCTGGCCCCAAGACGACGTATCGTCTTCCGCTAATCGGTCACACGCCTCCCTCCAACTTCAAAAGCCCTTCCACCTTTCCATGGGTCTCCCAGGCCGCGAGACGACGTATCGCCGTCCGCTAAACGCCTTCTACGTGCTGGAAAATAATCCCAACCGTTCCACAATGCCGCTAGCCCGAAGACGACGTATCGTCTTCCGCCAAACGGCCCCACACCACCCTCGGGCTTCCAGAACTCTTCCACCTCGCCATCGGTCCCCCAGGTGTCGAGACGACGTATCGACGTCCGCTAAACGCCCTCCCTACATGCTGGATTTTTTTTCCAGCCGTTCCCCAACACTGTCCATCCCTCCTGACCCCAAGACGACGTATCGTCGTCCGCAGGACTGTTAAACGTCATCCGCCTACTTCCGAAACCTTTGCACCATGCCACGGCGTCGAGACAACGTATCGTCGTCCGCTAAATGTCCTCTGTGTGCGGGGTCGCGTACGGATGTG